ATAGCAGGACTGAAATCCCAGCACGTGGGAGGCTGAGGCAGAAAGATCATGAATTGGAGGCTAGCCTGGGCTACATAGTAAGGCATGATAACCAGACAGAATCTAGACTCACTAGGGAGACAGGCCAGTGGGAAAGTCTGTGGGAGATTATTTTGATTGCTTTCTCTGCAGTGGAGACACGCCCACTGTGGGTGGCACCGTTGGCTGGGATCCTGGACTGTATAAGTGGAGACAGAGCTGGGTGGCAGCCTGCATCCACCCTCTCTGCCTCCTGACTGTGGATGAAATGTTATCGGCGGAGTCAAGCTCCCACACCTTGACAACCCAGACATGGAAGAAGATAGTTCCAAACTGGGTAACAAGGGATTTATATCTAGAAGATATATCGAAACCTAGACCATCAAGATGGCTCAGATGGGTAAAGGTGTTTTCTGCCAAGTCCAAAGATCTGAGTTCAACTCCCAGGACCCACATGGTAGAAAGAGCAAAACAATTCCCCAAAACTGTGCTCTGACCTCATGTGCCATGACATTTGGGCAACACACACATACACCCCCCAAAAAAGGAAAGAAAAGAAAATCAATGTTTAAAAAAAAATTCTGGAGGGAGGAGGGAACATATGAGCAAGGAAGGCCAAAGTCATGATGGAGAAATCTACAGAGACAGCTGAACCAAGCTTTGGAAACTCATGAACTCTAGACCTACAACTGTGGAGACTCCAGGGGACCCAACTAAGCCCTCTGTATGTGGGAGACAGTTGTGAAGCTTGGGCTATCTGAGGCAGTAGAACCACAATACAACCCTGGTACATGAGCTAGCTTGTTAGAACCTACTCCCTATGGTAGGATGCCATTCTCAGTCTTAATGCATGGAAGAGGGGCCGGGCCCTGCCCCAACCTACTGTCCCAGACTATGTTGACTCTTCATGACTCCCTTACCCTTGAGGAGGAGTGGACTTGGGGTGGGCTAGGGGAAGGTGAGGGAGGGTGGCGGGAAGAGAGTGGGAAGAACTGTGCTTGCAATGTAAAATGAAATTTTAAAAAAAATAAAAAATGGGGGGAAATAAAAAAATTCTGACCAGGCAGTGATGACACATGCCTTTAATTCTAGCACTCCAGAGGCAGAGGCAGAGGCAGGCTGATCTCTGTGAGTTTGAGACCAACCTGGTCTACAGAGCTCATTCCAGGACAGCCAGAGCTGTTACACAGAGAAACCCTGTCTCAACAAACAAAACAAAAGTTCTAAGGCTGGAGAGATGGCTCAGTGATTAGCAGCACTTGCTGCCCTTACAGAGGTCCAGGGTTTAGTTCCCGTATCAGGCAGCTCACAACCAATGGTACCCTCCATCCAGTTCTAGGAGGAACTGCGCGCGCGCGCGCGCACACACACACACACACACACACACACACACACACACACACACACACACACACACAAATACATACGTGAAAGTTAAAAACAAATCCTGGGCTGGGAGCTAAGTGGCAGAGCACTGCCCTGGCATGAGTGAGGACCCAGATGTAAACCCCAGCACTACAACTGGACAACAACCACAATCCAATTTAAAAATGGGCAAAGGACACAAACAGGCATTTCTCCCAAGAACCAATCTGCAGCGACATGGACAGAAGCACATCTCCAGCACCCACAAGAAAAGGCAAATCAGTCATGTGAGATGCTGTGCTTCACCCACAGAACGTCTGTTATCAGAAAGACAGCAGCACCAAGCACTGTCGAGAACACGGGGCGCTTGGACCTTCCTCTATTGTTGTGGGGCATCAAGCTATGGGCCACTTGGAAACACAGTCTGGCCTTCCTTTAAAAGGATGTCCACTCCCAGGTACACATCAGCAGCAATTCAAGATACAACCACACAAAAACCCACACCCATAGCTCACAGGGCAGCATTGCACAGAAACAACACAATACCCGTCAACTGACCAACAGTTGTACAATGTACACCTGCTGGGTACAATCAGAGGAGCAACACTAGGCTTAGAGCTCACTGCTGTGCCCACCCACTGCCTCAGTTCCACTTGGAAAGTCTAAGTTTGTCTTTCTCATCTTCCATCTCCCTCGGCCTGGCACTTGAGCACTACTGGGCATCCTTACTCCATCTGAAGAGTTTCCTAATGCCACGCAGCTGGCTGGCAGATGTCCATTACAGAGCCCACCTGGATTCCTGGCCTCCAACTCAGGAAGCATGATTTTCCCTTCTTCTTATCCATCTCCCTCCTCCTGACACCCGAGGTCTTCAACTGCCTATCCTGGTGTTTTCCTCTCAAACTCCTATAAAATTGCCCTCCAGTTTCAAAATAAAATAGTACATTAGAGGGACATGGTAAATGCCACGTCCATCACAGCAGTGCTCATAATAGCCAAGAAACAGCCCAATATCTACCAACCAAGAAATAAATCAACACGGATGGAACTGGAGGACAAGTGGGAAGTGAAATATGCCAGGCTCCAAAAGTCCCACCTGATCTCATTCACATGCAGAGCCTCAAGAAGTTACTATCTGGGGTGGGAGAGGCAGCAGTTAAAAGTATTTGCTGCTCTTGCAGAGGACCCAAGTTCAGTTCCCAGCATCCATCTGTAATTCCAGCTCCAGAGGAATGATGCTCTCTTCTAGCCACCTCAGGAATCCGCACACACATGCACATACACATATTTAAAATAAAAATAATTTTTTTTAAATGTTGACATCGGGGCTGGAGAGATGGCTCAGAGGTTAAGAGCACTGACTGCTCTTCCAGAGGTCCTGAGTTCAGTTCCCAGCAACCACATGGTAGCTCACAACCATCCATTATGAGATCTGGTGCCCTCTTCTGGTGTGCAGATATACATGGAAGCAGAATGTTGTATACATAATAAATAAATAAAATATTTTTTTAAAAAAATGTTGACATCATGGGTCTGGAGAGATGGCTCAGTGGTTAAGAGCATTGACTAATCCTCCAGAGGTCCTGAGTTCAATTCCCAGCAACTACATGGTGGCTTACAACTGTCTATAATGGAATCTGATACCAAAAAAAAAAAAAGTTGACAGCATGGGCTGGAGAAATGACTCAGTGGTTAAGAACACTGGCTGCTCTTCCAGAGGTTCTGGGTTCAATTCCCAGCACTCACATGGCAGTTCACAGCAGTCTTTAACTGTAGTACTATGGGATCCAATGCCTTATTCTGATATACAGTATATACATGCAGGCAGAACATTTATATACAAAAAATAGATAAAAAAATCTTTTTTAAAGAAATGTTGACATCATAGAAGCTGGGGTAGAACAGTGTTTCTCAAAGGCTGAGGAAGAAAGAAAGCAAGGGGATGGAGAGAGATTGACCATTGTGACTAAAGTCCCTGTGTGCCTGTCACTGAACAGCTGGATGCCAACAGGTAACAATGTACTGCACATTTCAAAACCTGCAAGGAGTGATCCTGAATGTTCTCACACAGCTTAGAAACGGAGTGTCTGGGTTTCTAACAGATTCACTCGGGTTTGACCATTATAAAACACATACACACAGTGGCTGGGGGGATGGCAATTGCAGAGCAGGAGTGAGGGAGGGTTTCATGTTACACATAAACACATACAGTTTTATGTAAATTTAAAAATATTTTATTACATATCATTTTTGGAGATTTATTATTTTATGTGTTTTGTTTACGTGTATGCCTGTGCACCCTGCACATACCTTGCACTCAAGGGGGGCAGAAGAGGGTGTTGGATCTCCTGAAATTGCAGTTACAGATGGCTGTGAGTCATCATGTGGGTGCTTGGAATTGAACCTAGGTCCTTTGGAAGAGCAGCCAGTGCTCATAATCAATACGCTATCACTCTAACCCTACTGTGTGTGTGTGTGTGTGTGTGTGTGTGTGTGTGTGTGTGTGTGTGTGTTTGGGGGAGGGATGCTCTTGCCACTCTGTGCATTGGAGGTCAGAGAACAACCTGGAAGAGTTAGCTCTCTCCTTCTACATGTGGGCTCCAGGGATCACACTCAGGTTGTCAGCATAGGTACCCATGTAGCCATTTTACCAGCCCTCAAAAACATTTTAATGTGTTAAAAATAGATCTATATGGGGTGTGGGGAAATGGCTCAGTGGGCAAAGTGCCTGCTAAGCAAGCATGAGAGTCTGAGTTCAGATGCACAACACTATATAAAGCCAGGCATGACAGCATGTGCCTGTGACCCCAGGGATGGATACCAGGGACTTCCCGACCTAGTCTAGCTGGGACAGTGAGGTGTAGGTTCAATGACAGACACTATCTCAAAGAATCAAGATGAACAAGTGATTGAAGAAGACATCAAACAAGTGAGCACATGCAGGCATGCATACCCACACACCTACACACAGAGAGTCAGAGGATAGAGACAGACAGACAGACAGACAGACAGACAGACAGACAGACAGACAGAGAGAATATCCACACAATGAAATATTATTTGACAAGAAGTCTTGGTACAACTGGATACATGATACCCCAACTAAGTAGATCTTGAAAATATTATGCTAAGTGAACAGAGCCAATCAGCTCTGTCAAGACCATGTGATGGACCAAATGGATTAATGTCATGGGAGTTTATATTATATCGTTGTGATGTTTGTAAACTATTCTAGAAATCAGTGTTCACCCAACAGATTGGCAAATTGATACTTCTTTAATTTAGCCTCAAACCCAGTAACATCTCTAGTATGGTAGCAGAGAGGGCAACTAGGGTGGACAGCACACATGGCTACTGCTTCTCTAAAAGACACTCTGTCAACAGTACCCAAATTATAACAACAGAGTCAATATCATGAGTTCAGGACCAACCTGAGCTACATAGTGTAAGTCGCCTGAGTTACACAGTCAGTTGGAGGTGAGCTTGTGCTTTTGCATTAAGTTGGGTTACCTAGCCACTTAGAGGTTAGCCCAGGCTACATAGTTAGTTCACGGTCAGCCTAGACTACATGAGACACCCCCCTCCCTGAGTCAGAAACTGACATACACCCCACTTACCTGCCTCTGTTCAGATCCTGGTTCAGCCTGTCATGGCTGCACAGGCCACTCAGTGTTCTTAGCCTCCGTATTCTGTCCTGCAGAAGGATGTTTGTCAGTGATTTCTCCACATGGCTGTGGTAAGCCACAGTCTGCGCCAGTGATCAATGTTACTATGGACACCAGGTGACTGTCCCAGTCACCCAGAGCCTTTGAGTGGGTGTGCGTGCGTGCGTGCGTGCGAGAGCAGCAGTGTGCTCTAGCAGCAGAGAGCAGGCAGGCTTCCTGCAGAGGAAGGGCTGCAGGGAGGAGCAGGGTCCCCATGGTAGGGATGGAGTCTCTGGCAAAGGGAGTCTTCCAGTCACCCATCCTTGAAAAGCCACTGGGCTGAGAACCTACTACACACCAGCTGGCTGCAGCCAAGGGATGAGACACACAAAGGAAGAACCAGCAGAGCTTCACCCAGCCCCCACCCCACAGATCCGAAGAGGGACTGCTCAAAGTCACCCAGCACTCTCAGACCCCCCTTCTCCCATCCCAGAGGACAAACTCCCAGGGACAGACACCATGCTAAGCGGTACACTCCATGCATGGATCCAGGATGCTCCGCCCTACCCATGTGGTCAGCTCTTCTGTAGAAGAGAAAACTGGAGCACAAAGAGGTTTAGCTGTTTGCCTGAGGTCACCCAGCAGCTAAAAGACAGCACTAGACCTGGGCGATGGTGGCGCACGCCTTTAATCCCAGCACTCGGGAGGCAGAGGCAGGTGGATCTCTATGAGTTCGAGACCAACCAGGTCTACAAGAGCTAGTTCCAGGTCAGCCTCCAAAGCCACAGAGAAACCCTGTCTCAAAAAAACAAAAACAAAACAAAAACAAAAAAAAAAAAAAAAAAAA